TGCTCCCATTCCGCGCATATTTCGCATCCTTGGAGAGACGCTGCGCATTTTACGCACTCAGCGCGCCCGATCCTTCGTCAAACCAAAACGGAGAGGACGCTCTGGAGTTAACGGAGGGTTTCCTGATGCTGTAGCTACTCCAATCCGTGGAAAAGTGTGGGAATTAATCCATAAAGAGGCGTAGGAATCGAGGTAAGTTTCCAAGGAGGAGTCCCCCTCCCCTTAGCCTGTAGCCTGCGCGTCTCAAAGCCCCCGGACGTTTCGCTTGTTTGTGAAACCCTGAAGTGGTCAACAAAGCTGAAATCAAAACAATTTCGGTGACATCGCGAGCGAAATCGGCACACATACACCCCATAGAGCCCTTAACAAATCCAGCCAGCTTTGAAATACCTTGACGGAGCCAGAGATGTCGCTTTCACTACAGTTTACCCTCTTCTTCCCGACACCAAAAACAAACCCTGTTTTCTATCACTTCTTTCTGTACTACACTAGCATGGCCTACATAATGTCAGCTATCTACCCATCTGGGTTGGCTTCATGAATTAAATGTAACGCGAAAAGGATGAAAACGTTTCGCTGCTGCGCTGGGAGGCAGCTTAACAAAGCTGGGAGTGAAAGGGGGACTTGTTGCATCGGCGGGGTTTTCTGTTTCCCCGCACAGGCAGGCCCCAGTCACAGGAACAGGCCATAGGCTGATAACATGCACCCAGTGAGTGTTTACCCAGTGGTCACAGCGCATTATGTGCACGATACGAACACCATTATACCGGCTGCTGGTGGATGTGGAAACGCATTTGCCACCTTAAGGAAAAATTGATAACAGTAAGATCTCAAAGCTCAATTTTAAAATACTAATTGGAGTTATTGTGTTAATTCATGTTTTGTCTCATATACATCAGTTCACTAAACTGATGTAAGGAACTAGGGTAGTTTAATACTTTTAAGAAATGATTATTTAAATTTGTAATTTGAGTCCTTTCAAACGATCCCAGTCAGTTTCCCTTTTTATTTTACACCAGCTCATCTTATATATTTTAAGTGTCTGTGTTAGTTGGTAAGGTGGTAAGTTTCTGAGAGAACATGTATCTTTTGAAATCCTCTTTTAAGTATCACCATCCCATAATACCCCACATATGGGCTCATAGTTGTGTTGTGCCATTTCCTTTTAAATATTGATTAAAGGACTGCTCTTGTCCTTTACAGCAACAGAGCTGTGGTAATGCAGGCCAAACCGCAATGTAATTATTGGAGAAAATTACAGCCTGTAGGAAGAAACATAGTGGATGCATTAATTCTGTAACAGTAATCCATCTGTCAGACAAAGGGAGGGGTATGTTAGGGATAAAAGGATTTCAATTCAGAGAATAATAGTTTTGGCTTCTTCTTTGATAGAACTGATGTGGCTAAAATGGAGATAAATGTTATGTTCTGCTAATGAGAAGATGTACACTCAAAATAATTATCAGAGAGAATATGACAAATGTCAAATTGAAATGTATTAACGTTGCAACCAATAATCTTCAAAATTCTGAAATGATTGATGGTTGTCTTTTTTCTATAAAATGTTACAGAAAGTGAAGTGTGTTTAAAAATGGTATGAAACAGAGGAAGCAGCAAATCTACAGGACTGTCTTGCGAAATGAATGAAATGATTTGTTGATAGCTAGTAGCTTAGCTGTTCTACCACAGTTACAATAGGGTTGGTCACTGTGTGGGGCAGAGATGGCATTTAACTGTCTTTTAAAAATATCAGGAAGACATAACAGGAAAAAACAGATTTTAAACTTATTTATTATGAAAAGTTTATCAAATATTTAATTACATTTCACACTTTATAAAGCCATGTGCATGTTATTGTGGTGAGTAAGTTTAGGTCCATCTGTGGCAGCTGGCAACAGTGTCAGATCATGATAAATGAGGTGTGTTGTCATGTCTCCTGAAAATGGGGATTTCCAGAAATGACACAAATTAGTCTAATTTGGAAACTTCTTAACAAGGTGGTGATAGTGATTATGGAGTTTTTTTCTCGTTCTCTCTCTCTTTTTTTGCTCATTTAAAGTGTCTTAAAATGATAAATCAGGGTGTCCTGAAAGTAACAGAATCAGGAGAGGGATTTTTGTGTGTGCGAGTATGTGTGTGTGTCATTGCCTTTGCTGTGTCTAGGTCCGCCAGTGTGCAAAGCTTTGTCAGTCACCCTGAGCAAACAGCCTCCCATCGTCCTCCACTTTCCACCCATCCTCCACCCCCCATGTCTCTGCCGTTGACATCTGTTTTGAGTGTTCCGTGCACCTGTAGAGACTGTGGAAGTGTGTGTGTGTGTGTGTGTGTGTGTGTGTGAAATTGGGGTAGGGGGGTGGGGGGCTCATGGGAGAGAGGAGGATGAAGGGAGGTGCCGAATGCAAATCCAAGCGTTTGTTCTGGGCCTAAGCAACACACATTTATGTGTGTGTATGTGTTTGCCTCTTGCTGTCCAGGCCAGGCAGGCCTATTGTTGCAGCAGCAACAGGCGTCGGTGGATGAGGACACACCATATGGCCTCTGTGTGCTTTAGTCACAACCACTGTGTACGTGCTCACATTTGTGTGTGTTCATGTACTTCACCAATGCTGTTACAATATGGTAGAGTTTGGAGCAGCCGGCTGCTTGCCGCCTTCCCCCTCGTTGTTTCATCTGTCATCTCATTTCTAGACAAGAGGGCAAAATCCAGCACATGGATTTTTTTGGAAGCGAAATTAGGAGTAGTAATCTTCCCAACATGAAATCACATCTTGTGACGTCCAGATGTAGTTCCACTTTGTTTGTTTTAACTTATATAATATAATATTGTTGTACCTCGTACTTTTTACCATACTGACTCTGAGAGATGAGACAGTCCAAGTAACTACAAAACAGTGCTGATTTATTCAAAGGATCACAGGTAAAATTAACATTACACGCTCAGGTATCTTGCACCTCCAAACTGCTCGCAGGCAGATGTAAGATGAAAGACCCTGAACCCACCAGGCCTATACATTATATCCCTTCGGTTGGGCTAGCCCCATACTACACAGAAACGTCAACCGAGACGTCTCTGTTACCAGCTTTGCAGCTGGTCATAGCAGTAGTCAAAACATGAAGTAAACCAACATGTGTGCATGTGTGTCTGTTGATTAAGTGGTGTGTAGCTAAAAACATTCTCACAGACTTCTAGTACATGTCGTGACTTAAACATAAGAACATATTATGGCTAAGGCTACAGTTATACACGTCATAATAATAATATTAAACATCCTGTCTGCTGACAGTCATCAACTCTTCTCTCTAGTTATCCTTGACCAGATGTACCCTGTAGAAACTCATAAGCATGACTAAGTATTTAACAGTCTAACTAGACATCCTATCTCCACTAAACACTTCTAATACATAAAGTATCTATCTGACTAAAAATACCTAACAATATATAGCCTAGTTTTTTTTTGTTTTGTTTTTTTGCTGAATTAGAAGAGAGTTGTGCCTGAAAGAACTGTCAGTTCAGAGTTTGGATGAATCAACAGGTGATAACAGTGACTCTTGGAAACATAGGGATGCATGTGGCTGTGAAGCTGTTGTTTTTTTTTTCTTTTTTCCACTTTTAATTATGATTTGCTCCTACAATGCTGCTGCAGTTGTGTTTCAATGTCCTTTTTCTTTTCTTACACATCTTGGACCATAACAACTCGTTTGCAGTTTTCAAAAGCTTTTTCTCACATCTGTAGTGACTTTCCACATTTTGAGCTGACCAAACATTTCAGGAGTTTATCAGGCTTTATAGGATGAATCAGGATAAATATGATCACAGTTTGTGGTAAAATGGAATAAAAAGTCATAGTGAACAAGAAGGGGAGCCGAAGTTCTATGTACTGACATTTAGCGATAGAGCTGGTTTATTAGAGCAACAGTACTGAGCTAGGGGTGGGGGGTGAGTAGGTGGGCCAAAGGAGGGTGGGTATTGTGGTTGAGATGGGGGGAGGCTTTGTTTAGGGGGTGGGGGAACAATAGGCATCCCCTTGAGTGGGGTGGGTTGGGGTGTGGGGCTGGTTTCTAGCTGCAGGAGGCCACTGGGGCCTGTGCTGGCTTGTCTGAGTGCCCCCACCCACCCACCCACCCAACCCCTTCCTGTCTCCCTGTGT